AGTCACAATTTTTGGCTTCCCTGCTAAAAATCTTGATTTGGAGGAACCAAAATAAGAGGAGGGGAGGAATTGGGAGGCAAACAGACCCTTAAAGATCACGTGTATATCGATGCGTATCACTTCAATTATGAGAAAAGGTTGGCCCAAATTAATCAGCATTGTCCATTTGTCCCACTAGTAACTTGACACTGGAGTTCACTAATGGCATGTTTGGGAACATGGATTTGGATTTCAAATCCGGATTTGACTCAAATTCCATGTTTGGGAAATTCAAAAATTTTGAATTTGGATTTGAGTCAAATTCCCCTCATTTATAGCAAAGCTTAATTTGAAATCCATGCACCTCCCCTTGTCATTTGAAATTCAAGATTTCAAATCCTGGAATTGAAATGCATGAATTGAAATAAAATGCTAGTTGCCAAACACTACCTAAAGAGAATTCAGGTCCCTGTAATGAGGAATAAAAGAAGAAATACTCACGAGGGGCACTCCCACTCCCCGGGGTTTAACAGTTGTTTGGGCTGTGGCTCTGAGCACCTCTTGCAGCTACTTCTGCGGGCAAAATTTACGAACTCGCACCTGAAAAAAGCCCCAAACATTATAAGCATCTCCAACCAGGGAAATACAACAAAGTTAAAGAAAGTTATTGAAAAGTAAAGTGTGGATAGAATTTGTTTGAGAAATGTTATTACTTATTAGCCACATGTTCATTTGCTTTTATGGAAAGAATAGAAACGAGAATTTTATTTTGTACTGACAAAAAAGAAAAGTGAGAATTTTATTTGGGGACGTAGAGAGTAGTAGAAAGAGTGATTGTGATTGTAAGTAGGCAAAATCATCCCCACAAATGCAAACCAGATGCACTATATGTAACGGCTTACTTCCAATGCAACTAAGGCAAAGCATATAAAATGAGGTTAGGTCGGCATTACATTTTCTCACAAGTAAAACCTAAAATGAGCTTTACTAAGAGTAGGTATAACAGAGGTAACAGGTAAGGCTAGCTGGACTCACTTTATGCACTTCCAATCTCCTTCTTTCATATCAGTATCATTACAAGTTAATCTCCGTGGTACCTCCCGCTCCCCAGAATTTAGGCGTTGCTTGGGCTGTGCCTCTGAACACCTTTTACAGCTACTTCGGCTGGCAAAATTTATGAACTCGCATCTGGAAAAGGTGCCACATATGAGAAACAGTTTCAACCAAGGAAATACATGGTAGCAGCAGAAAAGAGGGAAAAGGAGGTTCTTCTACGGAGTATTTGTTTTTCTTTTCATGTAAAGTAGAAAAAGAAACCCATTCCAATATTTGGCACGGATATTGGGCTTATTTGGCTAAGCACCGTTATCAAAGTTTTGGGGTGTCTCCCTTTATCTCTTTCATTATTTTTTTCTTTGTTGACAGTTTATGTTGTCTTCTTTTCCATTGTAGTAGAGTACTCAATATAATTTGTCGGGTATATTTGTTAGTGTTGTGTCTAGAACCAGTTAATTTCATTAGTTGTTTTGCCTTAGTGGGAAAAATTACCCGATTTTCCCATGAGCATCTGGGTTCATATTCAATAAATTTATCTTTTGATATATGTTCAAACTCAGTTTATTTATTTATATTGTATACTATGTTATGATTAATAAATTTTAACATTAATCATATTGTATTATCATTTACTTTTTTCAATGTAAGCAAAACACAAGTAACTTTCTTTAGCTAAAATTATCCTGTTCGTAGCATTTTCTGTGATCCTAACATTCCCTTGCTCCTTTAGTATCAAAGGAAGAATCTAACTTTGGGAAAGCTACACAACAATGGTAACTGGTAAGGGTTACTAAACTTACTTCAAGCACTTCCAATCTCCTTCTCTCATTTCATGATCATTACCAAGTGATCTCTTTGGGGACTCCCAATCCTCGCGGTTCAGTTTTTGTTTGGGATGTGGCTGTGTGCACATCTTACAGCTACTTCTGCCGGCAAAATTTATGAAATCACATCTACACAAAGCAAAATATGAGAAACAACATCAATCAGGGGAAAAAAAGGGTGATACAAGGTAGAATAAAAGAAAAAGAATGCAGCACCCCAAATACTTGTTGATAGCATAGTATACTATTTAAAATTATTTGTCAAGTATATTTGTTAGTGTCGTGTCTGGTTCATTTCTTCTGAACCAGTTCATTTCACTAGTTGTTTTATCTTAGTGGAAGAATTACCCGATTTTCCCATTAATAACTTGGTTCATATTCAATAAATTTATCTTTTGATTATTGTTCTAACTCATTTTAGTTATTCATTTATATTGTATACTACATAATGATTAATAAATTTAAACATCATTAATCATATTTTATTATCGTTTGCATTTTCCAAGGTAAACAAACACAATTAACTTTCTTTATCTTTAATTTTCCTGTTCATGCTTCATAGTGTTTTCTGTGATCCAAACATTTGCCCAATATCAAGGAAGAATCTAACTTTGGGAAATTTATGAATACCAAAACTACAATGGTAACTGGTAAGGCTTACTGAACTTACTTCATGCACTTCCAATCTCCTTCTCTCATTTCATGATCATTACCAGGTAATCTCTTTGGTGTCTGCCACTCCTCAAGATTTTGTTTGGGCTGTGGCTGTGTGCACATTTTACAGCTACTTCTGCTGGCAAAATTTATGAAATCACATCTACACAGAAAAATATGAGAAATAACATCAAATAGGGGACGAAAAGGATGATTCAAGGTAGAAGTGGAAAAGAAAAAGAATGCAGCACCCCAAATACTTGTTTTATCTGTCTCACAAAGATAGGTCTATGTTCCATTTTGGCACGTCACACAAGTCACAACAATAGCCCACTTTCTAGATTAGGTATCCATTTGTTTTTTCATTTCCAATTTTATTCCTATTTGAATTAAGATTTTCATTTTCAGAATTCCGAAATATGAATAACTCATTAATCAAAAACAACAAATCCAGTATAATCCCAACCCTGTTGGGGTCTTTGCAACCTCACCCCTCTAAAACACAAAGGCTGTTTACATTAGACCCTAGATACATTTACTGCCCAAAACTTCATAGCAAGTGAGAAGGGAAGTCTAAAGCGTCATTTTGATTTAGTCCATTTTTACCCGAAGTTAAAACACAATCAATAATGACTCTTTTAGCTCCAAAAAATGCTCCATTGGCAAAGAACCATAAAAAACATTGATTAACTTCACAACAGGGTAAGAGTGAGATTTGAATACGAAATTAATTATCCATCCAATTACATACAAGTATATGTTTGTGGAACCAACTACCAAGGGAGCCTTTTTTTAAGGTCTTACCCTTAATGCTTAAAAAAGTACTCTCAAGTATTTTCCTTTTATTTGGGAGTGGAAGGGTTAATTTTGGTAAATTAATGAACAATGAGGACATTGTATTGGAAATCTTGAACTTAATTGGGGAAGACGGTCAGAATCTGATATACTAGAACATTGCAAAAAAAAGTGAACAAATTATTTAATCGGGCAGTAAAAGTGGACCAAAATGGCAATGCATGATGGCCTACCTCCAATGCGCAAATCAGGTCATGTCAGAAACTCAAAATTATGTTTTCTCATTATAAATAACACATGAAGGAGATTCGTTAAAAGGCTATATTATAATGAGGTAAGGCTTCTTTAGACTTACTTTATACACTTCCAATCTCCTTTTCTCATTTCTATATCATCACCAGAAAACCTCTTTGGTGCCACTGCATCGCATTCTCGACATTTCATATTCTTGGCAAAGTTCATAAAATTGCACCTGAGAGAATTGAACAATTGTAAAACATGCATTCCACTGTGAGCCTTGAACATCTGCCAGCGATATTTGGGAATGAGTTATGAGAAGAGTGTTGGGGTATCTATGAATAGCAAACCACAACCAAACAAGAACACACACAAAACAGAAATCAAAACGGAGAAAACGGAACACAAGATTGGTAGTGGTTTGGTTGGCTGACCTAAATCCACTTTGCAACTAGGGTTTTTATTATTCAGGTGCTCCCAGAATTACAAGTACAGAGATTGCTATTTATGAAGACTGAACTGGGGTTAAAGGCTTAATCCCCGAGATAGGCCCAAGCCCACATAGAGATCTAGGGCTGGCTAAATTAAAAGCCTAATTTACTGCCATGTGGGTCAAACCAAGACAACGGCCGGCTGCCCTTCTTGGTCGAGCCTCCACTCTCACTTCTCCCAACAAAAAGTGTAAAATGAAAAATTTTATAAAGAAAAGGAAATACCATTAAGGTGCACATGTTATGAAGTTTTGGGATGCATCAAGGATCTAATAGAAACAATCTCTTTGTTTGTTACAAGGTGAGGTTGAGAATAATGGTACATCTTGATCCACAAATCCAACAGAGTTGGGATTAATTGAAATGGCTATTGTTGTGCATATGCTTTGAACAAAACCAGCAGAAGTTGAAAAAAATTGTACATGGATGTCAACGGCATTAGAGGGGACATGATTGGAGGAAAATGAATGTGGTTAAGAAAACCTTATGTTTTGTTCAATGGAGTGCAAGAAAGGGTATTAGCTTAGTTAGCTTAAAATGTAATTACACCAAAAATGCAGCAAAAGTTTGTTGACATTAGCATGTAGTTGTTTCATTTCAGCAAACATTAAACCCTTGTTTGGTTCAAAATGGGGGGGAGATGATGGTGGTTAAGAAAATCTTACGTTTGGTTCTAGAGTGTGGAGAAATTACTCCCTTTGTCCAACTATTTTTGTTCTTTACTCGATTTTGGTACGTCCCCGGGTTTTTCTCTCATGCCATATTTGGTGTGATTTAAGTGGCTCAAACCAATTCATACTTTATCAATTCAATATCAACCACACCATTCCACTTTTCCTAAATTTGTGCACCACTCTGTCATATTCCAAAATATGTACCAATATTGCAATTCATGTAGTTTTTGTTGTAGTTAAAAATATATAACCTACATGTATAACAACAAGGTTGAAAAAAATGACTGAAAGTAGGATAGAGACATCAAGATAAAAATAACTCGTCTAAAACCTTTGGAATAGCAATTGCAAGATTTGGAGAATTTATAGCTTCTATACTTTCTCCCCTCCCTGTTCCCCTTATATCTCTCAAACAAACACAGCCACTCAATCCTCTCTGTTCCTTTAAAGTCTTCAAACTAAACAAGGGCTAATTAACTAAAGGTAATTAAAACATTATAAAACCAAGGCAGAAAACAAAAGGTGATGGATATAAACTAGTTAGTATTCATATGAGACGTGAGATGCAGTGATTTTGGTCATCCAAGCATCGATAGATATAAAGCGCGAGTATGATTTTTTTGTTTCAAGAAATTTGAAAGTGATAAAAAAACTTACTTGGAGCATATCCAATCTCCACTTTTCATTTCCACTTTGTCTTTGCCCACCATATTACCTGTACTTTTCCTACAAAAACATGGACCCTTTAGTGTGATCCATGCAATTGCATGGTACAATTAACACTTAGAAAGTAGAAAACTATCTGGGATGAATACTAGCTAGTGTGATTCAAGAGTATGAGATGAAGTTTATTATAAACTGTGATGATGACATGAAAAATAAGGTTAATGAAGTCGCAAATTGCATTTAATCTTTCTTGAGTATAAAGCGGACCCCTTTAGTAAATTGGTTGCTTTGGGAGGTGGCGGTGCAATTGGCCACCATAGCTGTTCACCTGGTACTAATTAATGCAATGTTATTTCTGATTTCCCATTTCTACCTAGGACCAATCATTGTACATTATTAAACTTAAATATTGGTCAGCTTCTTAGTTTTTGGTGAAGACATAAAGGTTCTAAATATTTCATCTTATTCCTCCTACTATTATTACTTTTTCATCTTCCATCACTTATATTTTCCTATTATATACAGTATACACTATCAATATCCCCAAAATTATCTTGTGAAAAAATTATAGGCACATGCTTTCAAATTTGAAGGGAGCCTAAAGCAAACAAAAATGCTGTGAGGGAATAACAATATATGATCAATTTTCTCATCCAACGAAGGAACTTTAAAGTAACTTACCGACGACCCACTTCATAACTTTCCCAGTCATCATCAACTATGGAACCAGCAGATCGTTTCCTTTCAGAAAAAGTTGCAGGAGTAGGCTTTGTTAGTTCAGGATCTATTGGCGTCTCACTTAGCTCAATCAACTCCAACAGCAACTTTCTTACGGATGATTCAATGAGTTCTCTTCCAGGAGGCTTCTCTCCCCCTGAAGTAACAAGTGGATCCATTGCATACAAAAATAGGAGACGTACAATATCTACTGTGCGTGCAACTCCATCAGACTCTTTTAATATCACATTAGCTCTATCACATGAGCCCCGTAAATTGCATGCACCACATGCCTGCAAAATGCAAAACATACTACATTAAGCCACGAGAACTTGGTTTGTTTATCCCAAAAAAACTAGTTTACCGATATGTCTAATCACCTTAACCTCCCCGTTAGTTTAAACAAACTACAAAATGATCCCAAAAGCTTATATAAACTACAAATACATCCTCAGGAAGTCAACCTTGTGATGAATGACAACCTTAACACTAAGACATGATTGAATATAATAATATTAACATGAAACATGTTTCGTGTTTATATAGCATCTTATCAACTACGGAGTACATTCTTTGAGAGTTTTTCAAAAGAAGAAAAATTAGAACAAATGGTACGGGCAATTTAGTCTGAAAACAGAGTTTATATTGACATCGTAACACCCTATCATCTTTTATTGTCATTGGAGGAAAATCTACTTGTAGGGTGTATACTACGGAGTATAATTTTAGAGACCTTAGAGATCATTGGGCAATTTGACGGTTTTGACCAAACTCCAGGGGTGGTAGACGTAATTAACTTTAACTTGAATACTTGCAAACTTAAACAAACCTAGATCTGCAATGCGTAAATTTACCTTATTGAAGCTGAAGATTAGTACAAGAGTATAAAATAACCAAATAAACAAAAAGTAATATATCATGCATCATACATGTTCTTCCTTGAGTTGTAGATACTCTCTCAACCTTTTCCCAGAATAAACAGCCTTCCGAAATAAATTAGGACATCCCTTTTCAACAACTGCTTGAATATCTCGAGTGGGCAACATTCTGCAAGAATATTGCAACAACAAAACTCTTAAAAGTGGTACTCAAACACACTTTTTTAATCATTTAGTAAAGTGAACAAGAGTACTAAAAGCTTCATGCTTGGAGTCAACATTTTACAACTACAAGGGACATATTTTTGTCAGCTCACTGGATATAAGTGGAACTAGAGACTAACATGTAATGTTCCCTAAATTTCAAATTGGTTCTCTTTTTTTGTTACTCTGTTAAAACAATCAAAGCCTTCAGTCTTCAATACTTTTGCATCCTTGCAGTGTATGTCAGATGTCTAACCGAACAACCCGGATAAATCCAACGCAGAAAGGCTAGATGTAGGCAGACCTTACTCAAAGAGAAGTAGAGAAGTTGTTTCTGATAAGAAATCGAAAAACAAAGAAGCCTAGTGTATGACAGCTGTCTGAAGTCTGCTATTTATAGAACTAACAAACCTAACACTATACTTGTAATTGAGCATTTTAAGATTCAGAATATTTTATGATTTTGAGCTAAGATGTTACATTTTGTGATTGAATTTTCTTCTTCCTCTGGGTTTTGAAATTTCATGATCTATGCTACTGAGTGCTTGAGAAACGCCATACTTAAAGTATACCAAAAAGATCAAAGCAAAGTGGAAATGAATTGAAGAAAACAATGACGAAAAGAGACCTTACTTCAACATGTCGAAACGTTCGCGGCCGAAACTTAGACAAGCACTCTTCAATGCATGCATATCCTTATACACAGACTCATCACCATTTTCTTCTCTCCCGGCAACACCTGGAGAAGAAGTCCCGGAGCTTTTGGCCAAGTAACCTTTTGCATTCAAACAATCGACGAAACTGACCCATTCCGGCCAAGGATGCCGGCCTACACTGGCTTGATTTTCACAACTATCTACGGTAGACGTGAGGACGCACTCTGCCGCAGACGCGGAGGAGCAGTGACGGTGGAACCGTACGATCGGGTTGGCGAAGATGATTGGACGGAGAGAAGATGCGATGTGTAGGGAGCCGCGGTGGAGGCGTCGCCGGAAAATTGAAGCTCCGAAACGAACAAAAACTCCGGAAGCTGACATTTCTGTGACAGGGAGTGAAAGGGCTGTAACTGGGGTTTAGACTTCAGATAGGGTTTTGGGAAACCCGTCTCCTAAAGAATTCAGTGAGAAATAGCAGCCTGCTATTTATACTCCCTATATCATGATTTAATTTTAACATTGCTTGAATTTATTATTCATTCTATAAAAATAGGGTAAATTTAATATATATTCATGTTTTAAAATATTTTTTAAAAAAATTGAAACAGGATGTAGCAACACTATAAAATTGAGAAAATTAATTAATTTGTTACATTGAAATAATGAATGAGCAAATTAATTGGGGTAATTTGAAATATACTTGGTCCGTCCCTGAGTGTTTGTCCATTTTTGACTTTTGGAACTGTTCATTTAAGCACTTTGAATCATCAAATTCTCTCAATGTGTAAGCCTAAAAATAGTCATGTGTGATCTTGTTTGATTCGTCTTAACATATAGATTATTAATATATAATTTTTATAATTTTTTAATATACAAATTACAAGATAAAATGGATTAAAGAAGTGCATTGGATGGTGTGCAAAAATGAAAGTGGACAAACACTCAGGGACGGAGGGAGTATGAGTATATATTTATCTATTCTTTTATAAAATAATATGGTCATATCGTATACTCCATATTATATTTTTATCTTTTTGTATAGTTCAAAGTATATACTCCATAATTTTTATATTTATATTGTATACTCTCTCTGAATATATGTTTTTTCTTGTTCAAGATTCATATGATTAAATATTACTATTGTTGTTGGCTTATTTTCACTATATATTAATTTTATAACACTGCCTCTAGTTTGGAATATTTGTCTATTTATAACTTTTTGTGGTTATAATTGAAAAACTTTGATCATTAAATAAATAAAATTAATATTAGGTATATATTGATTTAAAAAAAATGTTATACTCCCTCCGTTCCAGAATTATCTTATTCTTCACTGTTCTAAAATCACATAAACTTTTATTTATTTATATGTTTTCATTAATTATTTGATAAAATAAAATATTCATGTAACAACTTATGTTGTAGAAATTTAGATATCATTTTTAAATGTATAAATTTTATTTTTTATATATATACTAATTTTTAAATAAAATAATTTGAAAAAATTAAAATCTTATTTTGTTTTGTGTAAAGTGAATATAATAATGGGACCGAGGGAGTAAGATTTATCTTATAAAAAAGTGTAAAATATTTTTTGTATTTTATATACTCTAAAAGTTTTAATTAATTATAGGTCACATGTTGGTCATGTTTTATTGTAAAAAGTCAAAACGATACAAATAGTTCAAGACAGAGAGAGTTTACTTCCTTTGTTTTTAGCCATAAATATATTGTTTTTATAATTTATTTATGTTCTAAAGTACTATCCTCGTTTGTGAGTATTCATCCAATTTTAATGTGTTGCAGTCGAAATTGTAAATTTTAACCACTCATTACAGAAAATTAATATGAAGTACTACTTATTAGATATTGATATAAAAAAAAATTTATTAGGTATATTTTATATACTAAAATCTAATAAATAAAATATTTTTCACTTATAAATAAATTGCATACGCCCTCCATTTCTTGAAATCGTTCATATTTTGAGTTTAGGCAAAAAAAAGAGTTTATATTTGTCATCGACTTTCTAATTTTGTCCTTCATATAATGTACTTCGTATAAAAGTAATACAGAGTATATGATAGAAAATTATTAGTGAAAAGTATGATTTTATAGGTATGATAAAAAAGTAATAATAAAATGATTTCTATCATAAAATGAAAGTGTTTTGGGAAAAGAGAAAAAAATGAAAAAGAAAAAGTTTTAAGAAAGAGATGAAGTATTTGTTTTGACATCTAACACGCCAGGATACTGAAAATGTGAAATTAATGTTTTGGTCTGAAATCTTTGAATAAATTTGATTGCGGAAGAAAAATATTTTTTTATGATAATATTCGTTTATAATTCAATTTTTTTACACTTTTCTTTTATACGGAGCAATTAAAGATCAATCTATAACCTATAAATGAATTTCATATGAATACATTTTTTTGACATGTAAAAATAATGAAGTTAGTTTAGATTCTTTTTATTCCAATATTGATGCAAAATCAAATACAAACAATCAAGGCCGGCCTGGAAAAATGAAAAAATATACAAACAATCAGGACCGGCTTCGAAAAATGAAAAAATTAAATTAGTCCGGTCCGAAATGTACATTTTAGGCCATATTTTATTATTTTAGAATATTTATGAATTTAAAAATATGGGGCTTTAAAATTTAGGGATCCTGTATTGTTTGCCACTTTGCACACCCTCCAAATCACCCACGCAAACAATATATTTTTAATATTTACATTAAAAAATTTTAAAAAAAGAACTGTCTCCACTATAATTGTGCTAAAATATAAAAAATACTATACATAATTTCTTTATTCAAATATATTTTTATGGCTTGATTGATTTTATTAGTAAACAAATTATGACTTAAAATTAAAAATACAATAGGTTAGTGATCAAAAAAAGAAATATACTTTTTTTTTTTGCATAATTGGTAATTAATACGGAGTATTTAAGAATATACACCATCCAACCAACATGAAAGATGCTTTCAAAAAAATTGCTTGGGATATATCTCAAGCATTTCCCAAAATAAAAAAAATTACTCCTTTGTGATAGTGGAGTACACTCCCTCCGTCCCTAAATAGATTACAAATTGCGAGTTACAAAAAAAAATTCTTTTTGAAATTATTTTATTTACAAATTGGTATATCAATAAAAATTACTTATTAAAAAACTACGTCAAAAGTTCTACAAAACAAGGAGTGACAAGAATATTTTATCAAATACTTAATGAAATCGCATAAACAAACAAAAGTTATCGAGATGAGAGAGAAAAAACAATTGTAATCTATTTAAGAACGAAAGGAGTATTACTTTATTAATGAACGGAAGGAGTATTACTTTATTAATCTAAATAGCATTAAAATAATGTCTAGAAAAAGAAATAATGTCCAGTGATAGCGAATATTTACTTAAATAATGACTAATTGATAATGACTAAAAATGTTAAATTAGAAAAAGACACATATAATATTATTTAAAAAAATCATTATCATTATGTTTTAGTGTTTTTTAATAAGGTTCCCTTAAAAAAAACCTATTAAGATCCATGTCCATGGTGGATCAGTCGACCACAACCAGGTTCTGATACTCTTTCTTGGAGATGGCGGCCTCCATCATCACCAAGGGACTGATCACTCCATCGTCTTTGAAGAAAAGCTTCAACAGATTCTTCGAAAACCTGCTCACCAGCGCCACCCCCTTCTGGCTCCCGGGAACCGGTGTCGCCCTCGAGTCCCGTAGATTCCAGAACACAATCTCCGGGACCGCGTCCCCGTACCCCTTCTCCGTGAACTTCCTCACGATTTCCTGGTAATCCGTGTCCCAGGAGGAAGGTTCAGTATAGGGACTGTAGCCGCCGTAGGAATGGTAGATTCCGGCGCGAGCTTGGTCGAACTCCATGTCGCTGAAGACGAAGAGCCTCTTGATCATCTGCTCCGGCTTCAGCTTCCCGTTCACGGCGACCTCGAGGATCAGATCGAACACCTTCTGGAAGTCGGTGTTCATCCCCCACTGCATGCGTTTCACGAACCACATCTTCTCCCGGAGGGAATCTCCGGCGACCATCTGGAGAGTGGGGTTCTGGCTGAAGGTGATCAGCTTCCCCTTCCATGGCTCCTCGCTCAGATCGGAGACGAGAAGGCCTAACGCAACGGAAACGTCCATCGGAGTCCCTTCCATGCTTCCGGAGACGTCGCAGATCGCCATACAGTTCCTCAGCTTCCGTTCCCGGAGAAGATCGTCCACCATCCTCTTCCATTGCAGCTCTGCTACTTCGTGAAGAATTATTATTTTCTATATTATTAACGGAGGGCTAAGCCTCGTATATATAATACAGGAAGATCCTAACTACGGAAGGATTCCTATACAAGTAAACTACCATGTATACAATGATTACAATTAATATTAAATATATACATACTATATTTAACATGCGCCTAACTACGTGACCGGAGACGGTCGAACGCCTAGGCTGTGTCTGAAGTCAGAGAATAAGAGAGACGGGAGCCCTTTGGTGAAGATATCAGCATACTGAGAGGAGGAGGGGACATGTAGGACCCGAACGTGACCAAGGGCCACTTTGTCTCTAACAAAGTGAATGTCAACTTCAACATGCTTGGTGCGCTGGTGCTGGACGGGATTAGACGAGAGATATACAGCACTGACATTATCACAGAATACCAGAGTAGCGCGTCGAAGAGGTTGATGAAGCTCAAGGAGAAGATTTCTGATCCAGCTAGTCTCTGCCACCGCATTCGCTACAGCGCGATACTCTGCCTCGGCACTAGAGCGAGAGGTAGTAGCCTGTCTCTTGGAAGACCAGGAAATGAGATTGTCCCCAAGAAAGACACAATACCCTGAAGTAGAGCGACGGGTGTCAGGGCAACCTGCCCAATCAGCATCCGAATAAGCCTGTAAGGAATCTGTGCTGGTTCGGTGAAGAGTGATGCCATGGGTAGCAGTGCCATGGATGTAGCGCAGGACTCTTTTCATAGCTGTGAGATGAGAGCTGCGTGGGGCATGGAGATGAAGACAGAGCTGCTGTACTGCATAGGTGAGATCAGGACGTGTGAAAGTCAGATACTGTAGGGCACCCACAATAGATCTGTAAACGGCGGGGTCCGGAAGAAGTGTACCGGACGTGACTGATAGCTTTGCCTTGGTGTCGACCGGGGTGGAGATGGGCTTGCAGTGAAGCATGTCAGCCCGCTCAAGTATCTCGTGTGCAAACTGAGTCTGGTGTAGAAAAAGGCCTCCAGCCGTGCGCTGAACACTGATTCCGAGGAAAAAATTGAGATCCCCCATATCTGTCATGGCAAACTCCTCTTTAAGCTTCTGAGTGAGGCATGTGAGAAGGGCGGTGGAGGAAGCTGTGAGGACAATGTCGTCCACATAAAGCAGAAGATAGGCCATATCGGCTCCTTGAGAGAAGACAAAGAGAGATGTGTCGCTCTTGCATCCGCGGAACCCCAAAGTAAGAAGAAATCCTGCAAATCGCTGGTACCAGGAGCGGGGGGCTTGCTTAAGGCCATAGAGGGCCTTCTTCAACCTGCAAACATAATTCGGCCGGGCTGGATCCTGAAAGCCGGATGGCTGGCTAGCATAGACTGTCTCGTGAAGGGTGCCATGAAGAAAGGCATTCTTGACATCCAGCTGATGGATAGGCCACCCTCGGCTCAGTGCAAGTGTGAGAACGATGTGTACCGTGGCAGGTTTGACAACCGGGCTGAAAGTCTCGTCATAGTCGATACCAAAGCGCTGATTGAATCCACGAACCACCCAACGAGCTTTGTACCTGGACAGTTCCCCTGTAGGGCCAAATTTGTGGCGAAAGAGCCACTTGCCGGTGATAACATTTTGGGTGGGGGAGGGGGGCACTAATTCCCATGTTTCGTTT